CGCTTCGCACTTCGGAGCTTTTGGTGTTGTAAAAGAATAACAGTCACATCCCACTGCTCGATCAGGCTTTAATATATCTCAAGAGTTGGCGGTGGGCGTTGTTCACTAGCTGCCTTACCTCTAGTCTGTGAATTAAAAATTAAGGACAGCTATGTGCAAATAGACTCTGTGAAGCTTTGTTTAAAATCCTGAAGTCAAACCTTATATTACTACACATTATTACTGAAACTGCGTTTTGAAATGTCTTTATGCTAAGTTTTAAGAATATGTTTATATCAAATATGACAAATTTCTCTGATAAAATTATCGTTGCTTTTAGATACATAATCAGTTTTTCATATCTATTTTCCTAAATAACTTGTATTTCTTTTCAAAAATATCATTGAATAACTTAGATAACAGCTTTATAGTCACATACATTTCGAAGTGCTCTGTCTACCATAACTGTGCATCAGCCTAAATCATGTACGCGAAAGTTATTCTAAAAAACAAAACGAACCTTCATGAATGTTCATGTGTTACATGGCAGATCATAACATGATGATACACTTCCGAAAAGGCGATGAAATGTAATACTGAACTAAAAGAAATCAATAAATAACCAATGATTTTAAAGATAAATCTAATTTGTAAACTAATCCCATCTCTTTTCACCATTGTAGCAAAAACTAAGATAAATCGCCCCTTAGTGTGTCAACGGTAAGTTTACTGCCTTTTAACGCTAAAATATCTGGGATTCGATTCTTCGCAGTGGATAGAGCACAGTTAACTAACTGTGTAGCTTTGCACTAAGAAAAAAACGGTAACAAAAACTACTAATAAATCTTATTTTTATTATTCTAGTGCGAGTGCTGATAACTGAATCCTTATCTTGAAATGTCAAACAGTACTCTCAGGGAGGATCTACATCAGTGGTTCTCAAACGTTTCAGCCTCACGTACCACTTTTGTTAATTTTTTTTTTAATTACAAACTCAGGTCTATTTTTTTAAAAAAAAGATACAAATCCCAGTAACAAAAATTCATATTTTTAACACTTACCCATTAGTGCGAAGGATGCGACTGTTTTTTTTTTCTGGCACGATTGTGGAATATATGGTAACATTTTTGTCAAGCACAGGGTGAGTCTATAAGTGAGGAGAATAGTAAGTATATGTACGTGGAAAGCTGAGGTATGGCTTATTACAAATTTTATTATTTTTTTACGTTAATTGTGTCGTGTACCACCGACATTAGCTCCACCTACCACCAGTGATACGAGTACCACAGTTCGAGAATCCCTGCTCTACATAGTTTCCTAACACGACCTAGCGGTTAGAGCAAGTTCAAATAAAGTCATCGAATATGCTCGCCCTTTGAGCAGTGGGAGCATTATAAAGTGAAAGTGAATCCCATTATTCGTTGGTAAAAGAGTAGCCCAAGAGTTAGCGGTGAGTAGTGTTGACTAGCCATATTCTCTCTAGTATATTACTTCAAAAATAGGGACGGCTAGTCCAAGTATAGCCTTCGAGTAGCGTATCAGCGATAAGTTTACAGACCTACAATACAAAAATCCAAGGTTAGATTCCCTGCGGTGTACACAGAAGATAGGCTAATGTGGCTTTGCTGTAAAAAACAAACAAAATCAATTCAATAAATAAGCACTACATAATTGTAGGTTGTGATGAACTTTAAAAACATTTAAATTAACTTCGAAAGCTTCCGCCTAATTTCAGTCTTCACTTGAATACAGTTTATTAGAATATGCCCTATGAGTTTATCAAGAGAATCGAGCCTCGTGTTAATATTCGTCTTCTCGAAACTTCTTTCGGTTTCGGTTTTCTGTTTTGTTTTTAATACCTAAGACGTTGAAATAATTGGATATTTTGTATTAAATTACCCTGAAATGCATTTAGCTATGTCTGTGTCAACGCTCTTAATCTACCACTAATTTATAGTGGCGCCATAAGAGGGGGTAGAGAGAATTTCTCCCGCTAAAGTTTTCAAAGCAAACTTTTTATTTTTGCCAGCCGCTTTGAGCGTTTTATTTACATTTTAACTTAGACGGGCAATTTCTTCCTCGCAAACGTAATCATAATTTGATTCTAACTTAAATCAAAGTAAAGATGGTTGAGCATGTTGTATTAAAAATATTTTGAATATGAAAATTATCAAGTCACGTAACAACCACATCTTATATAAATTTACAGTGGAACGGCATGTATGAGAACTACATTTTGACATCGCTTGGCCTTTCATAGATAGTGCGTTGTCATCGAAAATTTATCACTTTTGGGAGGAGTGTGTGTCTACGACTACAAAAATGATAAAAGCCGTATACGTGTCTCAGGCGGCAAAAGTACACAGTGTATTCAAGACGCTTTCAATCATCACATACTTCAAACAGCTGGAGAATGAAACGGTCACTGGACGCAATGGATTCCTGTACAACCGGACTGTTGAAAAGGGGCTCTCGAAAACCGTTGTCGTCATACACTAAATGGGTTATGGAAAGCATTCTGGGATGAGTGGTGTGTATTAAACATGACAACCTTATGACGGAGCCTTTTGAAATAGAAACTATATTGCAATGGCTATTGTCATGATTCACGGTCTTCAGATACAGTATGAACAATCTCAGAACAACCAAACAAACAAATATATTTTGATGTACAGTGAAGAAAACTGGAAATTGTGAAGTTTAAAAAAGGGCAGCTTTTGTGGATCCATAGAAAAGCTTTTTCGGAAGGATCATCTTTTTTTATCTACAGAAAGAAAGAAAAGACAACAACATGCACAATGTGCACATGCGACCTTGCAAAGTAACACATGCGTACGTGAGTAATATCACGTGAATATTCGCAGAATGTTATATATCTGTTTACAATATTTCTTCTTTTACTGGGTGGTATAAAAGAAACCAAAAATATTACATAAGGTGTAAGTGTTTACATTGAACGGCACATGGATTAAAGTATGGGATCAGAGGCCTTATGGTACAGGCATTGCTATCCCTAATATATTATATAGAACTATTGAACAGAGGAAGGGCAAGCAGGCAGCAAGCAAACGTGTATATATTCAGCGACTTTTAACCGACCATTAGAGACTGGCTGTTAGAGTTATAATAACCCAACAGCTGAAAATTCGGAGCTTGATCAGCGGCATATCGCGGCTCGAGCCTTGGACATCCCGTCAGAATTTCGATGACTAGACTAATAATGCTGAGACGGCTGATGGTACGTAAGAAACTTAATATAAGTTTAACTATAACACAAATAGGTACAACGTTTACGTACAATGTTTTACGTTTCTAGACCGTCT